ACATGACGGCTGTACCGACTCAGAACATCTGTGGAGGCCGGATATCAAACAGGCACATGTCTTCAACACATTCATTCCGAGAAACACACGCCCGACGTGATTAAAGCCAAGTTTTATATTTACCTTACGTTATCTATGACGGACTGAAGTGCTTTTCATAGCCTTTTAGTCGTGGTGTTGACATAGCATTGCTCAGGCACACAAGAGCTGAGTGTAAGTGCCTTCATTTACCTACAAGACATGGAGACCTGGAGATATGTATGTGTTCTGCATGCTTGCTGAATGTGGCCCAATGTTTTTTAAGTGATGACATCAGAAAGAAACACTGCCGTCACAATTTCCTAGACTTTTCTTGTTCAAGGAAAGGCAAATATTTGCCTGCGAGACATATGTAAATTTGTGGTCTAGAAGTGCTGTTAGGTTAATGCATGTGCATTCCCAAAGAAGCATTGGAACGCTTGTAGCAACGGCAATCGTGTTTGCATGGTTTAGAGGTGTGGTGTTGCGAGGTGCATGTCTAACACGCCAGTTTATATCTCGGGTTTCCTGTTGCTGTGTCACTGTCTAATCATACACATACCTCCCCCTGCTCCCCGCTGAGACAGTGATGCAGGAACTCACGTACATCGGGTAAGTCTTGGGATGAGCGGAGATTCGACGGAACATTTGCAGTGTTACTGCACAGGCGTAAGACGAAACCATATCTACCTTACCATAACTATAATTTCATTTTGATTTTTAATACTTTACATAAATTAACCCCCACCCCCACCCCACCCCGCTCTGAAAACCGTTCCTACGCCCCTGTTGTAGGAACCAGTGCTCGGGTTGGGCGTCGAGTCGGGCAGGGACTAAGGGAGAATATAACAATATATGGGATCTGTGACTGTCAACTTTAACAAGCAATCACCAAATTCCTTCCCTTTAGGCAAACGTCGCTCACCTTCCACAGTTTCAATGACTTTCTCATGTGGTCATTTGGGTCTTTTTGATGCGATCTTTGGTTCATAAGGACAGCAATCTTAAATAACACAGACATAATAAGATCGGGTCTTGCGCCAGAACAAAACACTAAGAACGGCTTTTGCGCCCATTTCTGGTATCCATTGTCGTGATATTACAGACGTAAAACGAAATTCACTCACTCACTGACCCTTTGCTCCAGAACATAGCGCTAAGGACAACCCATGCACCAGCACACAATTGTAAGTATAACCCATGCACCAGAACACAATTGTAAGTATACCTCATGCACCAGAACACAACTGTAAGGACGACCCATGTACCAGAACACAATTGTAAGTATACCCCATGCACCAGAACACAACTGTAAGTATAACCCATGCACCAGAACACAATTGTAAGTATACCTCATGCACCAGAACACAACTGTAAGGACGACCCATGTACCAGAACACAATTGTAAGTATACCCCATACACCAGAACACAACTGTAAGTATAACCCATGTACCAGAACACAACTGTAAGTATACCCCATGCACCAGAACACAACTGTAAGTATACCCCATGCACCAGAACACAACTGTAAGTATACCCCATGCACCAGAACACAACTGTAAGTATAACCTATGCACCAGAACACAACTGTAAGGACGACCCATGTACCAGAACACAACTGCAAGTATAACCCATGCACCAGAACACAACTGTAAGGACGACCCATGTACCAGAATACAACACAAAGAACAGCCCATGCACAGGCACACAACACTGAGGCCGGCCCATGTTCCAGAACAAAAAGCTGAAGGCGACTCATGCTCTAGAACACAACTCTGAAGACGACCCATGTACGACCCATTGTAGGAAGTGGAACCCAAAACTGAGGACGGCCCATGTACTGGAACCCAAAACTGAGGACGGCCCATGTACTGGAACCCAACACTGAGGACGGCCCATGTACTGGAACCCAACACTGAGGACGGCCCATGCACTGGAACCCAAAACTGAGGACGGCCCATGCACTGGAACCCAAAACTGAGGATGGCCCATGTACTGGAACACAACACTGAGGACGGCCCATGTACTGGAACACAACACTGAGGACTGCCCATGTACTGGAACACAACACTGAGGACGGCCCATGCACTGGAACCCAAAACTGAGGACGGCCCATGTACTGGAACACAACACTGAGGATGGCCCATGTACTGGAACACAACACTGAGGACGGCCCATGTACTGGAACACAACACTGAGGACGGCCCATGCACTGGAACCCAAAACTGAGGACGGCTCATGTACTGGAACCCAACACTGAGGACGGCCCATGTACTGGAACACAACACTGAGGACGGCCCATGTACTGGAACACAACACTGAGGACTGCCCATGTACTGGAACACAACACTGAGGATGGCCCATGTACTGGAACACAACTCTGAGGACGGCCCATGTACTGGAACACAACACTGAGGACTGCCCATGTACTGGAACACAACTCTGAGGACGGCCCATGCACTAGAACACAACTCTGAGGACTGCCCATGCACTTGAACACAACACTGAGGACAATCCATGCACTAGAACACAACACTGAGGACGGCCCATGCACTAGAACACAACTCTGAGGACAACCCTTTCACAAGACGCTGACGATTAAATGCTGTAAAGCGTCTACTGACATTAGATGATAGCGGCACCATGTGGCACGATCAGTATTTCCCATGTCGCAGTATTGTTGGTTTACTTGCAAACTAAGGGCGGTGTTCTCTAGACATCCTACAGGCACTGTATCACTGAGCTGGTACAAAAGGAAGTAGAACGGCATGATTCGGCAATACTCAGTCATTGTCAGAGATGAAGTACGCAGATGATTACATGGTTCAGTGCCAGTACTCGGTATTCAGCAATAATGTCAGTATAATAGTACCGTAACATCATATTTTATCCCCGAGCTATAAACAGTTGTCGTTGCACGCATGACCGGTGGCGCGTGTGATGGTGTATACAGATGTATACTTGATCCCATCAAGCGAGCCTGTACCTACAACCTGCACACAATGGCTGGGGATGTGGCGTATCTTGGGGTTAAGAACGCCGAAATGAGTCGTCCCGTCATGAAGCAGGTGATATATGCCCGTTCCATTAACACTGAGCACGGCCTCTTAATAAGTCGGACTGTAATACACGAACCAGACATCATGATGATGTATTATCCAAAAGTATGTCTGACCACCTACATCATCGTGTGGAGGGGGGCTGCAGATTGAGTGTGAGTGGGTCGGGGTTGGGAGTTCGTGGAGGGTGTTGGGGTTGGAGTGGTGGTGGTGGTTTGACGAGGACATGGGTTTTTTGGGTGGGGTTGGGTGGTGGTTTGACGAGGACATGGGTTTTTGGGTGGGGTGGTGGTTTGACGAGGACATGGGTTTTGGGGTGGGGTGGTGTGGAGGGGGGCGGAAGGGGTGTATGTGTTTGGTTTCGGGTTTGGAGGCAGGAGTAAATGGTGCGTAATGGGGTCGGGACAGAGTAGGGTAGATGTCGGGTTGGATGAGGCAGTTGGGGTATGTATGTTGGTGCTGGAGGTTGAGGTTGAGGTTGAGGTTGATGATCTAGGGGTTGGGTTGGGTTGGATGGGATATGCGGGTGTTGTGATGTGTGTTGGGGTTGATAGCCAGGTAGCCACCACTGGCGCCCCGACATGGATGCTGGTGGGTCGGTGTGTATGCAGGGGGACAATGCGGTCGGTATTGACAACGTCCAACAACTGGAGATTGGGCTGTTAGTCGGGACAGTTAATATTGACAGAGTACTCACAGAGGTCACCCGGGGTCCATATAGGAACAGACAAGGGGTGGGATGGAGTTAGTGTGTGTGTTTTGTTGGTGGTAGGCAAAGGGGCGGGGGTTGGGGTGGTGGTGGGGGTTGGGGGTTGGGGTGGTGCTGTTGTTGTTTAAGGAATGGCTCTGGTGCATTGTCTGCTTGCGATGTGACACTGTGCGCATTGCTTTTTCTTGCTGAAGGATAAACATAAGATTCCTAGATTAACACGCACTTCCATGAATATTTCAACCCCAGTCCAGTAAGAAGCCACACATGAATTGTGCCATCTTTGCTCCAGCAACGTTACATGTATGACAAGCAAATAGTGTGGCGAGCAGGTGCGCTGTGTCCGTCAAGACTGTCTGTATAGCTGTGAACCAACAAGGCTGCACTGCCACCCCCGGGACTCACACCGTCTCAGAGTGAGGTGTTTTGTATGCATTGCCTCTGTCAGGGGAACGACCCTCACCAATTATCTGACCGACTACTTCCAAACACAGGGTATACTTCATCAACTGACTGCTCCACGAGCGGCAGATGACACCGGAGTGGAGATACGGCAGAGGGAACAGTTCAAACGTTTTACCAGCCAGCTGAAGGACCACAAATATTTGCCGAACGTTGCAGCGCTTTGAAAACATGGAAACATGGACATGATTAACCCACTTCTTATGCGCTGTGATCGGGGACAGGTTGCCTTAGGGTCGAGGATTGGTGTGAACGTCTAGATAGGTAGATGAAACGAGCAAAATAAAATAAAACATTATTGCCATTGTGTTTAAGACCGACGGGGGTGTTTTCTTCCTGCTTTACCTCGTGTGCTCAGAGGGGCGTTGCTAATGTGTTGACCAGTTATAGCTATAGGCACAGCACAACAATATAGAGGAAATGTGTACTGAACCTTGATTTGAGACAACGTAGATACATTGAGATAAATCAAATAAAATATCAAATGTTAATGGAACAGTAACTAAAAAACCTAAAAGGAAGTCATTAAAGTTCAGTGAATAAATGTTTATGGCACACTGTCGTGACAAGTGTGCATGCAGTGGCAGAAGCAGCAGCGTGACCACTTGACCGCTCACTTCTCCGGGATGTCCAGCTGGGTGGGATATGGGTTACCGGAGGCAGATTATTCCCGTTTTAGCGCTTGGAAGGCAAAATGGAGTATTGGGGGTGGGGTCGGTGGGTGCAGCCCCTCAGTATAGCGTTCAGGGGGCACAAGAGGCTCTCGACGCGACTCCTCCCAACACCAGAACCCTAGCGGCAGCATGGAGGGGACAGTGTGTGAACAGCTGGTTAGAATCGGAGGAATCTGCCGGCATACCTCGACAGCGCAAGGGATAAAACAAAGGAGTTATGAGGGAGACATTGATTGGGTATCGAGTTTGCCCTAAGGAGCGGGATCTCCACAAGCTTCGCAGTGTCGGCAAGGCCAGGTCGTGCCTCACTCTTCTCAATTGCTTGTCAGTTTTATATGCGCCTTTCTAAACACATGTTCTCAATTGTTTTCGAAAGTTCACTGTTTGCGGGATGCAGGTCTGATCTTTGAAGGGCATTGCAATTTTATGGATTTGCTAACCATTACATTTCAAACAGCTTTCTTGTGCGAGGATAGGAAGTAGGCTCAACTCAGTTCTCAGTGTTGAACGATAGCACATGATATCAGAAATCTACATCGACACAGAGACGGGCTTACGCTCCCAGAAAACGTATTTACCCAGGGACACGATCCCTGCCTGTGCTTTCCTCATTCAACTCGCGTGCCTCCAGAACGAGGTGGGGAAACCCGACCCCGGTTCGAAGCAGACGACACGCTGATCAGTTGAGCGAGGATTTCAATACGCGCTGGTCGACTGACTTCAGCTGTCTGTCATTTTCTCCCCACCAGCAGGATTATCGGACATTGAGAGACACGGGAACACAGGGACCAACACTGACATAGCCTGCGCACGCTGCTGTGGATACATGGAAGTGTTTCTCTGGCGACATAACTGGGTGTTCAACATATACGACCCTTCACTTGTTATCAATCCGGGGGAGCATTTGGTGTTTATTGACGAATGCTTGTGACTGATATCATGTGTAGCCCGCGTGTCTACAGAGGACTGTGTTTCTGCACAGATGTACACAGAGAGTGTTTGTGAGCTGGGCTTGTACTAGTGAGGGTGTACTACAGAGGGTTATTGTTAATCAGCGGTGTCAGCTTCACTGCACTCCACCCTGCCGGCGAGAGGAGGGGCTTTGGAGTGAAACTTCTCCCAACAAGTCAACACGTTTCGTCGTCTGCTTGTCCAAACCCCAGTCGACAAATATCTGATACGTCCAGCGTTGGCTTGAAATGTGTATTTAAACAGTTGAACTGTTTATTGTGTTTTCACCTGTGTTTTCCACAACTTTTAATTCAAGGCTCCGGCGATTAAAATCTTCCAGGTCTTGTTGGATGTATTCAGTGTAAGGAACTCGCTTGCTACTCGTGCACTCTAAGCTGTGACGGATGTGATGTTATTACCATGATGGGTGTACTAGACAGATGAGTTCCAGCACTATCACTATGAACTCCGGGAGCAAGGTGAAACAACCTGACAGCAAGATTGTCGTCATGGGCAAACCTGGAGTAGGGAAATCAGGTAAGACTCTTCAACACTGTGTGACGCACATTCCTCTGGAGACGTCTCCTTACATTATCCCCCGCCCTCAAGCAGCGGCCCCCCTCACACACATATAGACGACTAACATGTTGTTGGAGAGCTGTAAATGATGCTACACTGACATTATCCCTCAAGCCGTGGCCCCCCTCACACACATATAGACGACTAACATGTTGTTGGAGAGCTGTAAATGATGCTACACTGACATTATGCCCTCAAGCCGTGGCCCCCCTCACACACATATAGACGACTAACATGTTGTTGGAGAGCTGTAAATGATGCTACACTGACATTATCCCCTCAAGCCGCGGCCCCCCTCACACACATATAGACGACTAACATGTTGTTGGAGAGCTGTAAATGATGCTACACTGACATTATCCCCTCAAGCCGTGGCCACCCTCACACACATATAGACGACTAACATGTTGTTGGAGAGCTGTAAATGATGCTACACTGACATTATCCCCTCAAGCCGCGGCCCCTCACACACATATAGACGACTAACATGTTGTTGGAGAGCTGTAAATGATGCTACACTGACATTATCCCCTCAAGCCGCGGCCCCCTCACACACATATAGACGACTAAAATGTTGTTGGAGAGCTGTAAATGATGCTACACTGACATTATGCCTTCATCTTTGGCATCAACATGTTTCTTCACGAACCCAATATTATGTGTTATTGTTGCTTATTGTGGACTAAATGAAACAGTTGGATCCCAAATTAATATGTGATGATTTCTGCCGACCGTAATGACCACCCTCTTAAACCTCGAAATCATAACTTAAACATTTGTTAATGGCCATAAGTGTATGAAGTCTCTTGTATATCATAGAGTCGTGTTACAGTTTGATATAGATGGTGTAGGACCATTTGCTGAAGCAGCTACTGAAACTCCTAAAGTTCCCAGGTATCAAAGCGGTTATTATCTCCCAACAAGATATTTCTCTTCAGAATAACACCCTCACCTTCAAACGATTCCCAGTGCCTTGTCTTATCACTTCACCTACCATTTGGCCCCAGACTGGGGGTCAGCGCCTATCGTTCACCTGTCAGCCCTACCCTTTCACCTCCGCCCAACTTCCATTATCAGGCAGTGGTGAGCCCCGCTATCAACCCCATCTACAATCTCATTAACTCCCTACACATCCCCCGACATGCATGTCTTGTCTATCTCCACACATCACCAATTGGTTTATCTGCTCAATCGCATCAACCTGTACACCCGCTGAGCGCGCCGTGCATACGGTGTTGTTGATTAATTGTTACCTTGAGATCGATAGGTCGATAGATGGGAGGCGAACCTGCTTAACTCTGCTTATAACTGCCATCAACAGAAACATCATCTTCATGTCTCAGCTGGATAGCTGTTAAGGATCCATATCAGAAAGAAATTGTAGAAAGTAATTGATATGACTTCAAATACTTGAGATATTTATCATGAGAACTATAATGAAACTACAAAACGTCTTACTGAACTTTCTAATATAAATTGATGAGAGTTTGTCCTGGGATGCTGCATACAGACACAGTATGTGAAGCTGTGAGACAGCTCCGGAAACAGCCCTGTTTATACATGACGTGGGAGTGTATTGTCTGTTTGCGATCACACACTATTAACATGGATGGTATTCATGCGTTCCTGGTTGTCCACGTCGGTGCTGGGGAAGTTGGTAGGCACCCACGATTACCTGTGCATGCATCATCTCACTGTAGTATGCCCAATTACACCATTAGCGAGCGGATTTCTCGCAACACAGACTTCTGGGTTCTTCCGAGGAACTTCATCTCTCACTTGGCAAGCTCTGTCGTCGCGAGATGCCTCTCAAGAAACCTAATTTATGTGTATATGCAGGATGGAGCCATATTTGTAATTACCTATTGAGGGTTTACGAAAACGATAAAACGCATAAGCAGAAATTACGTTAATTACTCGTGGTCATCAAGGACTTTCTAGATAAAACCCAACGCTTAATCTTTATGAGAGTCGCAGAAAGTGCACTCATCTCCAAGTATAGATCCTTACTCAGCCCTGCTGTAGAAATGTGCATAAAAAGCCCATAGACAATCAGTGGAAATACATGGCGAAGATTGTGTCTTATTGCAAATATCTCAATAATTCAGCTCATCAATGGGAAACTGGTCTACGTGTTATGGTTGGACCAGTATTGTGCAGTAAAGCGTGAGGTCTTTGTATCCATCCTGTACCAGCTCTATAGGTGACTAGTGACCCGGACTGCCCAGCGGTCAGTAGGACTGACCTCTATGTATATGATAGGCCATAAAGCGGGCACATCAGCACCACAGGGCACCCTATTAACAGGGCTGTTATTGTATCTGGGACACAACAGTGTCTTGTGTCACAATAACATCTTTGTTACAACAATGAGGAGCTGTACATGAATATAGATAGATACATCAGGTATAGAATATGCTGGTGCTGAACATGGTCATCGCGGAGAGACACTTGATCACATCCGAATACCATCTACCCGGTACAACACTACTCAGATCACAACCTATATGATACTGTTGAAAACGGGAGGCCTTGTCACAGACAAGTTTCTACATATTTATATACACCATACCTTAAAACTTCCTAACTGTATATACAGTATCTTGTTTATCAATATCACAGGTGTCACCCTTCACTTGTAAGATACTATAAATCTCAATCATATGTGGCAAGGATCTTTTTCTGTTTGATAGATGTGACTAATTACATTGCGATAAGTAATAAGAATGTGTCATTACAAGCGTATCTTTATCTTCCGACATTCTGATTCCTTTGCTCTATTTGACCACAACAAGCCGGGCATTCGTAGTCTGGGGGTTGTCCGGGGGATGCCCGGGGGATGCCCGGGGGATGCCGAGGCAGTTGGGATTTAGAGATAGTTCTGCTGGATACAAGGGAGAAAACTGTAGAGTTAATCGAAGCGCTGTTTTCGACAACAAAAAAATTGTAAGACATTACCACAGCTCTGTCATGAACGTCAATTCAAACCAGTGCCTTGGATCAACTTGTTAACAGCGTACCATTCAGTCGAGCTTGTCGGCGTCCTAACCTTCACTCACACAGTGGACCATTAGACAGTGTCATAAATCATCTTAGCAGTGTACTATTCAAGGCCTCATAACCTCGTAACGCACAGTGTACCATAAAACAACCTACCAACAACTTGACCAGACAATCCAGTGATGAACATCATGAGCAACAATCTACGGGGATACGATGACGTGTGTCAACCAAGTCAGTAAGCCTGACCACCTGATCCCGTTAGTCGCTTCTTACGGCAAGTATGGGTTACGGAAGACCAATTCTAACCCGGATCTTCACGGGTTATTAAAAGTACAAGGGGTAGTGATCTATGCTCACGTGAAGGACAACACCAGAATGAAACCAAGTCTCAAGTTGGTCAGCACAGAGGGTAGAACACAAGGAGCAGACATCGTTCAGATATGTAATTGTAATGTAACTACAACGCCATAATGGACACTCGCAAATCGAGCAGGAAATTCTCCTTTACGATTTTCGACTCGGGCTAACCAAGTTTGAAATGGCGCGTCAAACTCGCATTTATCCTTGTAAGATAATGACACTTCCAGTGTAGTCTGAATTGACCTTGAGAACTGAGAAGTTTCTTTTCTCCACGTGAGGTCCAGCCATCACCCCCAAACCCCGCTGCCCACCCACACGGACTAACAGACAGATACATGTAAGGCGATGTGTGGTTATCAATAGACCGGGATATGTCGGAACAACAGCAGAGTCCCATGTATCTTCCACTCGACGGGAGGAACATGGTGAACCAAATCGTGGTCTGACGTTCCCAATGCAATCATGTCCGTGGGGCTGCTACGTGATAGTTTCATCTCTACCTGTGGTTAAATGTGTATTCCGACACGAGTATTTTACACAATTGATGATGAACTCTCATCTCCTGTTCCTGCTTCTTCTGACACCCTCATGTATCGGGTACATAACGAGCGGCCTATAGTCTACTCTAAGTCTGATATCAGGTGTTAACTTAATACGTCTATCAGAGCTGATTATTGAACGTAATTCATGCCTTTACATTTGACCGGCGTTTGTGCGTGTATAATTATATCATCAAATATACTGGCTATGTACAGATTGCATGGAGGCTGGTCTACAGTCTGTTTGCGCTGAAGGTGATGGCGTGTAATCTACTTTTAAGCACTTGTTGTCGTGAGGCGATGGAGTGATGGGGCAGTATCAGCCCCTACTTCCTCCTTAATACCCCATGGCCCATACATCACTCGACCCACACCTCCGGCTAACTAATGGCGTATAGATATCTTCTCACAACTACTGGTGCCTTCCCTACCATCACGTGTACGTGGTGCCTGACGATGAGTTACTCCTCTGGACGTCATGTCTGATGACCTACTCCTCTATACTCTCTGTTTGATGTAGCCGAGTGGTTCATAGCATTCACCAGACACGCTCTTGTTGAATACAATGCGGGGAGCTCATTACTTGTGCCCCCTTAGTTATGTTGCTGGACTATTGCTAAGAGCGGGGTAAAACCTTATTCTCTCGTATTATTCGTGTCTGATAAGTTACTCCTCAACATACCCGTGTCTGAGGAGTTTCTCCTCCACATACCCGTGTCTGAGGAGTTACTCCTCCACATACCCGTGTCTGAGGAGTTTCTCCTCCACATACCCGTGTCTGAGGTGTTACTCCTCCACATACCCGTGGCTGAGGAGTTACTTCTCCACATACCCGTGTCTAAGGAGTTACTCCTCCACATACCCGTGGCTGAGGAGTTACTCCTCCACATACCCGTGTCTAAGGTGTTACTCCTCCACATACCCGTGACTGAGGAGTTTCTCTATACGTCAGGTTTGTGTGGTGCCTTGCCGCCGGCACCAATGCTTAGTCTCTGAATGTATATATATAATTTTGATGGAAATAAATGGTTCCATTTCAATTGAAAAGGAGCGCAA